TTCTGTGCCAGGGTGGGAGTTGGGGCGAGGTCAAGTTAAAACTCCACAAAGCTCTTCCACCATCTTTCAGGGGCCTTTTTCCTAGCTAAATTTGTAGTTGCCTTCTGTAAATCTTTCACTATCTTCTACAGTTCTGATAAGGTTGATTCTGATAGTTTTTGGCAGTTTTTCAATGTTTCTGGGAAGGAACAAGCATCTGGAGTTACCTGTTCCACTATTTTAGCTGACAAGCTCCTGACTCATTTAAGACATGAAAATAATTTTGATACTAAAATCTGACAAGTTCATTACAAAAAAACAGACACGGTACCCAATATCTCCCAACTGTTATAATCATCAAACTAGCAAAAGAAAAAACAAGGTCATTTTAATAGATGCAGAAAAAAGATCTGATGAATCTCAACATGCATTTAAGACTTCCAGCAAACTAGGAAGGACATTTCACAACAAGATAAAGAGTTATTTATGAAAAAGCTCCAGCAAAAAATCATACTCGATGTATGGATGGCTGTCTGCCTGCCCTATGAGATCAGGGACAAGGCATATAAGTTTATTTATAACATTTTATTCTACAATGTAAACAGGTGATCTAATTAGACATGAGAAATAGGCATACATACTGCAAGGAAAGTAGCTGTTATGGACTAAAATTGTGCCTCCACCTACATTTATGTGTTAAAGTCCTAACCCCCAGTACTCTTTAGCATGTGATTGTATTTTGAGATAAGGTCTTGAAAGAGGTAATTAAGACCCCACTCTACTGCTTTTTCTTTGACACTAGCAATCAATCACCATCAGGACTTTGAAGGGATAAGCATATATTTTGCTTAAATCACTAAATCACTGTAGGCAGTGAGGTCCAAAGGTCTAACTGATTAGGTCCTTATTTTGGGAAAATGAGACAAGGACATACAAAGAAAAATCAATATATGTAATGCTATGTTAATTCATTCAACACATATATAAGGAACAACTAACATGTATTAAGCAATATTTTAGGAGCAGGGAATACAACAGTGACCATAGGAAGTTTATATTCTAGTGAAAGAAGATATAAAACATATCTAATAAATATGTAATCATATAGTATTTTAAGGTATTTCTTTCCATTGTAGAGGATGGGAAATACAGAGACTAGATGAAGTGACAATATTCCATATACAGCAATGTCAACTCTTATTTTGTTTGTCTGTTTTGCTCTTTTTGTTTTGTTTTGTTTTGTTTTGTTTTGCAGTACCAGGGATCAAACTCAGGACCTAGTGCTTGCAAGGCAGACACGGTGCCATTGAGCTAAATCCCCAGCTCCAGCAATGTCAACTCTTAAAGATAGCAAATTCAACTCGTATATTTGAATTCTTTTTTTTTTTTTAAGTGAAATGGGCAGGACAAATTATTCTGTGTGCCTGGACTTATGTATAGCTCTCTATTATGGTTGTCTTCTGGGTGGTGTTGATAACAGCATCAAGTTTAATATATCTTCTATTTTACACTTCTGGGAATTGGAAGTAATACACTGTGGTACCTTTTCTTAAAATTAAATATATAATAGTGATGATGATGATGGCACTAATAAAGGAAACACAAATAAATGGTCCTTAGAGGAAAGACAGAAATGACTTCTGTACTTGGGACATCTCAATTTACCTATTAATTACATCATCTATATTAATCCACTGTAGGCCATGAAGAGTGCTCAGATCATAAGAAGAGGCTCACTTTTAGGAACCACTCATTGGTTCAGAGACTATTCCTCATTTCACTTGATCTACAACAATCCCCTTCCAGTAAAAAAAATAAGTAAAATAAAAATGTTTGGAGCCACTCAGAGGTGCTCAGCCAATGACAGTTGCTATATAAGATTACATAACCTGAAAAAGAAAACCTCAGAGACAAAATCTGGGGCATGATCAATACAACCAGCTAAATCCAAATTACTCTAGGATCAGTCTCTCTCAAAGATTTATAGGAATTTAGAGAGCCATGAAAGAGGAACAAACTGAAGGTAGTTCCAAATGTAGCAGAGTACTTTGGAATGGCTTTGCACCCTGATTTAGGAAAGAACAATGCCAGGCTCCCAGGTCTAACTTTTAATTTCTGGAACGTGTGCTCAGTATCCTCAGTCTTGGTTATTATATCAGCATAATAGGAAAAAATGCTCTCAGCTTCTTTTTATAATAGAGAATGGGTAATTGCTCAAGAAAGGGAGGTTTAAGGCAAGCTAGGAGAGAATGTTTTCCTGCTGCACAAGAGGAAAAAGAAGGAATGAAGACTGAGTGTTTCCAGATTAATGCCTTTTAAAAGTTCTTGATCCAACTTTAGATTTTCCCAAGTAGTATTTCTCTGTTCCAGAGTGTTCAATAAAAGCAACTGAAATATAACATTCCTGATACATCACAGTGTATACTTTAGGTGGAATTCTGACAATGGTGAATACGTTTTTTTGTGATCACAGGGTTGTTTCTTGAGTCATGGGTCTGGCCTCCTTTACATGTTTAACATTAATAAAGTTGGCAGAATGGTTAAGGAGGATACTAGAGGTAAAGGAGTAAGAGACTGGTAATAAAGATTAATGGCCCTGCAATAAATGTCCAGTGTAGTACTTAATGATTAAAGGACAAGAACAAAGGAAACAAAGGATATAAAACAGAAAAAAAATGTGTATTAAAAAAATTCAGATAGACTAAAGAGGGGAAAGCAATTAAGGAGGTGTCAAATCAAGCAGTATAACGTGGGCAATTAGTGCTAGGTCACTGGCCTTATGATAAACAGGGTATGAAAACCCACTGTAGCACACCTTGGAAAGTTTATGTCTCCCATTTCATTGGGTGCCACAGCAAAGGCCAATGCAATAACTTTGCCTTGCATAGAAATCTGCATACACTAGCTCTACAATAGGCAGAATGGCTTAAGTGGGCAACTTGAGCTCTTTCAGTGATCATTTGGACCATAATTTTGCTAGTGGCTCCATATGAGAATAACAAAAGAAAAATATAAGACAGTCTTTTTTCATGAATACAGAAAAGTTAATAGTTACTGAGAATATCTGAAAATACAAACTTTTAAAAAGATGAAAAAGTTTTCTGTATTTTTTTATTGTAATACTACAACCTCCCTTCCACTAAAAGTGAGGGGAGAGAGAGAGAGAAAGAGAGAGACTACTAACAACAATAAAAAATAAAACCATGAGTGAAAATTGTCCCTGAAAACTTTGCAGAATTGTAACAGCTTCTCTTTGTTAAGTTGATTGGTACAGCAACATTATAAAATGACTATTAGGATTCATTATGCACAACAGAAAGTGCTGAAATGTCAGCAGAGTGTACAGCAAAAAGTAATGGGTTCTGAACTCCTGCTAGTCAAAAATGATTTTGTTTCAAATTAGGAATTGATTTTTTTCGGACACAAGCCCTTTCCAGGCTTCTGGCTTTTGTAGCTGGGCCCTGGAGAGATTAACCTCCACCATAGCAAGGGCTGGCCTGATGATACTTTTCTCGAAGTTCTTTTCAACTGCTGCTTTCTAATGTTGCTGTGGTCTTAACCAATAACGCAAGTCATTTGTCCCTTTGCTATTACACTATATCTTTCTCATTTTGCCATTTTATTCTAGTGCTGACACACAACATGAATTTGTTGACAAGTTAACAGAAGACTATGTTAAGCCTTGTAGAGTAATCACCAGACCAATTCTGACTGGTTCTCCATTCTTCAAAGTAAAATGACTAAGAATAGAGAAAGCTGAAGAAAGAGCTTCCCATCTCTGAAAGAGTACTGCTACAGAAAGTAAAGAAAATTCTTTCTTATACAGTAAGTCTGTTCAATTTCATTTTTGTTTTTGGTAGCAAAGACTAAGAAGCTTCTGTGCTGTTCTAAAGCAATGAACATCTCCAGAACATTTGGTTTAAGTAAAAAACAAAAACAAAAATACCCCCATACTTTTGCTCTTGTTTCAAATTGTAAGTCACCCTTCTGAAGTTTGGACTAGTTTTCATATTTCATTTATCTAGGATAGGATTAAACAAATTCCAGATTAATTGTAATTAGAACAAAAAACCATGACAAAGCACACAGCAGAAGAGGAAAGGCAGGGAGAGATACATTTGCAAGATCTTCTCATAAAGCACTGATCAATAAATAAGACAGTGGCTAAAGAGATCATAAAAAGTTGATTCCTGGTGGAAATATAGTAGTCGCCTGGTACAAAACAAGAGGTAAGAAAGAAATCAGGGTTACTCATTGTGGGTAGGAAAAAAAAAGTCTGTTAAAGAGGTGTGAGCAGAACGACTCAGAGATCTCGTTGGTGCTTTGTTTCCTATATAACTCTTCTGTCCAGTGAGGCTCATTCCCTTCCAAAGCATCTCTTTAATTCTGCTAAGAAAGATTATGGTGGTCAAGGGCCACTCCACGAACAACTAGGAAACACAATTAAATTTCCTTCACTCAACATTTAATTTATTTATAACAGATTTCTTTAAAAAATCTACCACATATAAAATAGGAACCATTACTGGCACTTGAAAGACTGTTAGTCAATATTTGCTTTAGATTCATGAGGTTTTGTTTTAATCACAACGTGGAGTTGTCCATGATCCCTTCTCCATGTTTCCTCTCCCCTGTGTTTCCGGTTAATTGAGGAATAACTGTTGTTGTTAGGGTTTACTTTTCCAGGGGAGATTTACGTCAACTTCTTATCATCCTTACTCAATTTGGACATTATTTTGTGTCTATGATGGTACTTACTGCTTAATTCTTAAGAGTCTGTTGCTTGCAAAAAGAAGCCCAAACTGGATAGAGTTTCCCTTATCAGTATTTTAAGAAAAATGCAGACACATTTTATTAATCTAGTAGATGTCCTGCTTGTGGCCTTGCAGGCAAAGTCAGTTTATAACATTAACTTCTGCTAAGCATTTCAAGAAATCATCTGGCATTCATTGGCTAGCAGATACCAGCAACCATCTTCCCCAAGCAGCTTATCGTTGTGCTACTACAGATGTTAAACTTACCTTTCTGGAGGCCACATGTATCTTTTTTTTGACACATCCACTTGGCATTGTCTTCTATATGTGACTGAAACCCAACTGTCTTTTTCTCTTTTCTATTCTCTCCACTGTTTGGGGAGTCTTGGTACTTTTTAAAGGATGATGAGGTTCTAGGCAGCCATCCATTGCATTTTGACTTTAATAAACTGAAAGAGAAAATGTGAATGAACTGTAGAGGGTACAGAAGGGGATACAAATTATATAAAGATATTTAAATTCAGTGAGTTGAAATGAAATTCATGACAGTAAAAACTTACTTTTTCTTATTTTTTATTTTCTTACAACTTTTTATTCTTACTTTTATTTGGAGTAATTTACTAAAGGTCTATTTTGTGTCCTGCCCCAACAATTTTACAGCAGCAATGGTCTTTATCCTTAAAAAGCTTACATTTGGAGTTAGGGAAATGAGATTCAAACCCATGAAATTATTAATAAAACCAGAGTATGACTAAAAATTTGAATATCTATAGAAATAAAAAGTATACTAAAACTAGACTTGCATATCTAAAGTATATTCCAAGTATTAAAAGTGAATGTTAGGGATTAAAATATCACCCGTGTGCTTCAAAATACATTTGTATTTCTCATTTTCAATTGTTTTAGTATTTGTTAGGTACCCAGGGTATGTAAGGAGCAATGCAGTAGTGCATGTGGAAGAAGTGGACTCTGTCCTTACATAATTCAATTATAAAGTCAAGAAGGCAAAAATAGAATAAAAGGCATTTAAATTAAAATGAACATATTTATCTTTTTCTTCTCATTAATAAAATAAATTTTGTTCCCACTATTAGCATATTTCTGCCTATAACATTTTATTATTTTAGGGAGAAATATATTTCCCACAGATTCATGCCACTTTGATTTTATCTTTCCTATGCCCACAGACAATGTGAAAATTAGAGTAAAAAAAAAAAGACTGAGAAACTGATAGAGATAGCTACTGGAAAAGTAAGACTCTAAGAATGAAGATGTTTAAACTTTCAGAAAGAGAGGTAATTTCCAGACAAGAATAAGTTGAATGAAGCATTATTGGACCTATTTCTTCTCCCAGGTGGTCTATGGCTAAGATTCCAATCATATAAACTTATATATGCCACTGGTTTGTGTTTAGTAATGTTTGCTCACATCATAACTTGTATTAATAAGAACCAATATATTAAATGGATTTACGCTTGGTGACACAAAAAATAACATAGTACATAGCTTCATGTAGGCATAATGACAAATTTATATTCCCTTTGTCTTTTAAAGATTTTTTACTATAAAACAGATCACTTTCTTGTGCAGAACTATCCGTAGATGTGTGTCTTAGATTATATAATTTCTATTCCTAGGACAGGAAATTAGGGAGAATTAAAGCCTCAATGTGAGTATAACTTATATCTCAGATATGCCCCAAACCAAGTAAACCTAACGTCTGCATCTGTGTTTACTCATGGAGAAAAACTAATGTGACCTTGATACCTGGCCGCCCCATAATTCATTCATTCTCAGGTCAATACTAGCCAGTGCTACTGCTCCCAATATGGATTGCTTCCTGATTCTTTATTTTACATAAAGGCACTTCTGTGCCTTTATTCAAAATCCCATCCTGGTAATCCTCCAACTCAACAGGGAACCTGGCTTCCAATTTCCCTAAAATAAAGATGACTATATATAAAATATTAAAAATCTCCTTTATCTTATAACTTACAAACTTTTTCTCCCCAATAGATTCCGTCCTAGGATTATAAACAAGAGCAGATCTTCCATTAAAAACGAAAACCTAAACCCCAAATCCCAAAACTCTTCTGTCAGGTGGGAATATTAATATATTACCAGTGAGGATAAGGGGATAAGGTCACTTTAACACACTACTGGAAGATTTGCAGGTTGGTATTGGTTATTTTTTTAAGTGATTTGTCCACACAGAACAAAACTGCACCTCTCCTAACACTTCTACTTTAAAATTTCATTGTACAGAATTACATGAGCAACAACATGAGAGTATTTATTCAAGGATGGTTACTGCAGAATTATTTGTAACAGTGAAAATACAATGCAATAAATAAATGATGGTTCATATCCATTAAAAAGACCATAATTCAACCATTAAAAAGAATGGCACAGTTCTTCATACTAATGTGGAAAATGCTATTAAATTAAAACAGTTTGCAATAACAGAAAATATAATGTAATCTCAAAGTTCTGGATGGATAAATGTCAAACTGAAGAAGAAAAGTAGAAATAGGGTAACTGAGGGAAAGGCTTTTATATTTTAATTTATGTAATTCTGAATGTTTAAATTTCTTCCAGTAGGCAGATATTTTTGTAATTAAATAACAAAAACCTACCATCTCTCTTCCAATACCATTTTCTCCCTCCTTCCCTTCTCTGCTCTATTTCCAGAAAACAGTAATTTATTCTAACCAACAAACCTATTAGAACTAGTTTCTAAACCAATCAAAGGATTTTCTTTAAAATCTTGCTTTTTACCAGATTGATTAGCCCACAGCAATTGACTCCTTTCTTAAAACTTTTTTCTTCTGGCCTTTGTTATTACAAATATATTATCCAGACTGATACCTAGTTTCAGGAGGATTCTACTTAGACTCTTACAGGGAACTCTCCGAATTTCTTCCCCTTCCCATGCAGACATTCCTGAGGATTCTGTAATGTTCTTGTTTGCTTACTTAACACTAGGTTGCCATACCTCTGTATCCTTTGAGATCTAGACAGTTTCCTCTAGTTCACCTTCTTTCCAACATTGACACCTGATCCAGCATACAGTAACAAGTTATAAAGGGTTATCTAGTTGTCTCTCTGGAACCAACTCATGCCAAGTATCATCTTTATCATGAAACTAGTGCCTCCATCTCTTTCCATTCTCCCCTAGCAACACCAAATCTTCTCTGTGGCACTGGGGGTGGCGGCGGGGGTGGGGGGACACTTCACTTTCCTCAATTTGTACTTTCTTTATTTCTGCTCAGTAAACTGCCAAATCAACATTCACTTATAGATTTATCAGGTATTAATTGAGGACATATTTTATAGGTCTGATATACGCTATGGAACTGGGGTGGGCATAACAAGAGAAAACAAACATTTACTAAGTACTTGATATATGCTGGGTATAAAAAAACACGAGCAAGATCTGATTCCTGTTCTTAAAGTGACTTTAGTGGTAGGAACAGAATTTTTGATACAATATGATAAATTCTGTATTCAGGAATATGCAGGATGTTATGGGAACACAAAGGCAGAGAACCTAGCTCTGTCTGCATAGAGAGATTCTTAAAACATTCAAACTCAGTCTTAGAGGCTAAGCAGGGGATAAGGAAGCACGGAAGAATGTTCTAGGTGGAAGAAAATGGTACAATATTAGCAAATACGCCAACAAGTAAAACCTCACCACTTTGGCAAGTTAAATGGTTTGGTGCTGTTATAAAATTTGATGATAGGGGAAGAAGGAATGGAGGTGAGATGGGACATTTTGGATCATGAAAGAATTTGTTTTCCATATCAGAGGTCTTGAACTGTATCTTATAGGCAAGGTGGAGTCACTGAAGGGCATTAAGGAGACAAATTACATATCCAAGTTGAATTTGTAAAAAGTTCCCCAAGTGCCATTTAGAGAATAGAGTACAAGCAATGAGATGAATTAGAGTTTGTTCTCAAAGAAGAAGAGCATTAAGAGGTAGAAGGAGAAGGGAGGGAAAAAAGGAATAAAAAATGTAAAAAAGGAATCAGGATATGCTATGTACAGGTACCAGCTCCACATAAGAGAGTCTGAAAGCTGGATCTGGGTTAGGATTTTACAGAGATGGTGCAGCAGACTGAAGGTTAAGGCAAATACATACCAATAAACAGTAGCTGGGGTCAACCTTATGGTCCAATACATATGGGAGAAGAAAGCAAAGCAATGAGGAATGAAAGAGTGGTAGAAAAATGAAGAGAAATGAAGGTTTAGGTACCTCTTTTTTAGGTACAACAAAAATAAAACAAGAAAAACATAAAAACCCTTGGCATAGTGTATGTAAAAAATGTGAGAACATAAGCAAGCTGAAAGAAAGAGGCTAGGTCACAAGGATGGGATACCAGAGAATCAATGAATTCTGTGATGAAATTACAGAAGGTGACAGCAAACCCTGGGCGTGGCCATGCATGATGTACCTGAGGACAGCTGGAGAAAACTAAGGAAGATGAAAGCTCTTTAGCTCTGGCAATGGATAGATCAACCATAAAGATACTGAAATCTCACAGAATGACAGTAGGAGCTGTGCAGAGAAAGTGACTTTGAGTCGGATGTCGAAATCCTATTGAGATAATGATAGAAAGCAAAGTATGTAAAAGGAAGATTATATTGCAGTAATACTGGATGTGGTGAGATTCACATAAAGAGAGGGTTGTAAGAAAAATGCTAGCACTCCGTCTCTGTTGTTTATCAGAAAACTCAAAGAAGGGTTTCTATTACAAGTAGTGGTCTCAGGAAAGATGCTGATTTTAGGCACTGATTCATACCCTGGCTATGAATTTAAATAATCTGAATAATGTTTAATAAGAGTGATGAACTGAATTCCACCTACTGATTGAAACTGAATTAATTATTCTGAGCTGGGCCTTGAACATTGTTTGGTTCTCTTTACTGCTTTCTCCTTTTTGAAAGTTCCATAGGTGATACTAATGTCTAGCCAGGGTTGAACATGAGAATTACAGCAAAGAGAAAAATTTTTGAAAAGGTTGAGGACTGTATAAATCAGTTTTTCTGTTGGTGGGACACAATACCTAATACTCAAAATTTGAAAGAGAGGTTTAATTTAGTTTAGAGCTATAGGGGACTCAGCACATGGTCCGCTGGCTCCAACGCAGAAAAATCATGGCTGTTTACTTCATGGTGGCTGGGAAGCACAGCAGGGGAACAGCATCAGAGAGGAAGTAGGGAGGGACCAGACATAGTTCCCCAAAGCCACACCTCCATGAACCACCCAGACACAGCCAGAATAGTGCTCCATCAATGCCTTAGGCAGATTCCAAAGCCAAATAAGTTGACATTCTACCCTAACCACCACAAGGATGAAGAGTTTACTACCTATGAAACTAGGATTCTGTAAAGCACCTTAAAAAAAATCTTAGGGGTACAGTTCAGTGGTATAGTTCTTGTTTAGTA